GTCTTATCTCTAGCTTTTACGGTTTTGCTCTGGCTCTCCATTTGTTTACTCCTTTTCAAAATAACTGTTTAAACTTCAACGGTCTCTTTAAAATTCACTTTATCCGTCATAAATATCTTCTCAAACTTGTCTTTATCTATGATAAATGCATTTGTACCAACCGGACGATCGTAAGAAACCTATGATCCGTCACTTAACGGCAACTTTTCCAAGTCACTCTCGAGTTGGAACTATAAAATGGCTTCTACCTCAAGTGTCAAAAGTCAGTCAAAAAAAAAATAGAGAAATTACTCTTTGCCAAAAGGTAAAGTAGTTCTTTATAAGAATATTTAGGAGCAAAACACCCAAAATAAAACTTTTGACAAAATTATTGCTGTTATTTATTGTACATTTCTGCCGAGTTCTATTTGGAAAGGGTGTTTTTTTAGAGGCATATCACTGAAATCAGTCTCATAAAAATCATGTTAAGGTTATGGTATTGGCTTAAGTGAAAAGACAATTGTATGCCATTATAGCTTAACTATGATTTGGGGAATATGGGCGCCGTGGCTGGCTCGAATGAAGAGCAATCTGGAAGTCTAATTTTCGACCACTTCCAATGAATTTTCGTTGCTTCAAATCAGGCAATTTTGTTTATTTACGCAACCATTGAGCTAAAAACGAATATGTCGACCGTAATTTGAACGTAGCGCACGGTAAGTTCGGCAAACTGAACAGCGATTTTCGAAATAAATTGTCGAATTCGGAGCTCCAAAAATTCAAAATCCGAAAGCTATTATTGAGACCCCGTTATATCCATAAAAACTGAATATTTGATGTGCATTTTTATGATCTTTCAGTAAAAGTGGTCGAAAATTGGGCTTCTTCCGTGGATTGCTCTTCATTCCAGCCAGCCGCGGCGCCCAAAGACCCCAAATCATACTCAAGCTATAATGGCATACAATTGTCTTTTCAATATAGCCAGTACCATGACCTTAACGTGATTTTTATGAGTTTCCTTTCAGTTTCAAGTTCTACACCTCTAAAATCACCCTTTAATAATAAAGGGTATTGACCCTTTATGTTAGTATTAGTAGGTTCACCTGTATAAATAGGTCAACTTCTTTGCAATCGATAAGTTGCGGATCAACATAGCTGAATCTTAGAATACCTTAACACTCGCATTCTATTCAATAATCTGTAAATCGCGGTTTCCATTTTGTATGTTTTGGATTTATTAAATTACGGCTCAGAAACCGTATAATCAGTTCTAACCAGCATAGACATTTATTTATTTATCAGACTATGAAGGCTTTCACGGCCGGTCAAATTACATTTATTTATGTATTTAGTAATATATATTAGTAATTTATTTATTTATTTATTAAACCATTTATTAACCCTGTAGATGCAATTTAATATTGTCTTGCGTAGGAAATGGTACTAAAGCACATAATTTAACGAAATAAAAATTTATAACGTAATTTATATGCGAAGAAATTCGCCAAGGTAGTGTCACAAAGTCCAGCACAGTTATTAACATATTTCTTAGTTCCTTATTCTACATATCAGTTTATCAAGACCACTTTTGCTAGTTCGTTTGCCGCTATGTAGTTCAAAAGCTTGTCTTTAATGTATTCTTTTTTCACGTAGAATGTCTTCAATTCATTTGGAAGATTATTGGAAAACTTTTTAGCTACAGAATGACTATTTTTTGATGTTACTCTTTTCGTTACCTTTGGAAACATTAAGTTCTTAGTTCTTGTATTACTTGAATTATTATGATAATGATCTAGATTATTATGGTGATACATCAAACATTGTAATCGGAAGAGCGTTTGAACAGACAGCTGATTATTAGGTATCTTTGATAACTCTAAGATAAGAAATAACTTTCCGTTTACTAATTTTAATATTCTCTTTTGTATTCCCTGTATTAGATTAATGCATGTTCCATAAGCTCTACCCCAAGCTATTATCCCATAAGCAAAAACGTTTTGGAAAAGTGATTAGTAAATGGTAAGTAAGGTGTTCGGGTCCATATAACTTTTAATTTTTATTAAAAACATTATTATATACAGGTTATGCTTAAGCTCAATGTATACTATTCAAATATTGCTCATTTAGTGACTCCCTAGCTATAATACGACAGCTCTAAAGCATTTTACCATTAGTAATGAAATGCCTATTTAATTGTACTTTAGAACCAAACGGCGCCTATTCATTTACCAATTGGCAATTCCACAATCCACGCCGGAAAACCAAATATGGCAAATATTCAGGCTTTTGGCTTGACAATCATATGTAAATAAGCCATTTAAAACAACAGGGAATCTGTCGCTTCGCTCCGTTTTTATATTTTGGCAACAAACTGCATTGCGCCAGATTTTATAGTCAGTTCAATTTTCATCGAATTATGCAACGGGATTTCAAATTTTAATTGGACAACCCGAACCAATGCTATTTGCTGAAACGCATCAACTGCAAATAAAATTTAGATAACAGGCCCAACTGATTAAACAGATTTGTAGTGACCAGCCGTCTCAGTGAATATTCTTCTTCCATAGTAGGTATGTTAATGCAAGTACAAGAGCAAAATCTGGACTTAAACGTTTGTAGCGATAATGTTCCTGCAGAAATAGATGATGCTCCCAGACATACGGATAGCTAAATTCACATAGATTTTTGAATATTGCTAGAGAAGGCCGAAGCCAAAAAAAAGGTGGAATAAGGCTATTTGACCGTAGATTTTCGCTTGTTCGGATCCGATATGTCGGAGACGAAGACTATGACTGAAACTCTGTTTGTGAGCCCTGGAAAATTCGGACAATGGCAGCCTTTTCTAGAAAATGTTGTTCAGTGACCAGGTCGAGTTAAGAACCAATGAGATCGTGACTCCCCGAAATAAATATATTGGTCTCTTAATACACCCATCTCGCTCAAATGTGCAAGGAAAATAAATCAATATCTTGCATGTTTTAGAACTCACAAATAGACGAATTATGTGCATGACTTTCCACTTGGGGTTAATAAGTCCATTGTACAAACGGTAACAGAGGATGGGCAAAATTCGTCGTTTTTATGGATTATTTCCAAAATTTTAGCTATTACCGAGAAACTGTTATGAGTATGAGCTCGATTTTCCGTAAAATACAAATGGCGCTTAAACATTTTTTTTGCTAATTTATCTATGAGGTACAGGGAAATACTAAAACCTTGCCAATTACAACTCCGCTTTTTAGCTCTTTTAGTACTCGAAGTATTACAAGAGTTTAAACATACGTTTTGTGCATTCATTTGTGAAATCAAACTTACAAAATTAACTAGTTTTCGTTAATTAAGCTCCATGTATATTCTGATATCTTTAGACGTCCCTATTCTTCCCGGGTTCGACCCAACCATATCTGACCCAAGAGCCTTTTTTAGTAGTTTTTGACATAATTGAATGAAATGAAAAAACATCATAACATACATCAACTCGGCATATAGCTCAGGAAATTGGTGTTTCCACAACCACTATGCATCAAATTTTAGCAAAATATTTGTAGCTTTATGCGTACAAAGTTGAAATGGCTCAAGAGCTAAAGCCGGAATACCATGGGCAGCGAACAGCCTTTGTTGATTGTATTTTGGAACAACGACAATTGGACGGTGATTTTTCAACAAAAATCATCTTTAGTGACAAGGCCCGTTTTCATTTTGATGGCATCGTTAATCGACAAAATTGTCGCATTTGGGATTCCAAAATTCCACGAGTGATCGTTCAGAAACAGATGCATTCAAAAAGAGTCACTGTTTAGTGTGCATTGTGGGCTAGAGGCATCATCGGAGCATTTTCTTCGAAAATGCAGTTGGTTAAGCACTAACCTTAAGCGGTGTTCGTTATCGTGAAATATTAACTAACTTTTTTATGCAAAAATTTGCTAAATATGAATCTCAAGAATGTGGTTTCACCAGGATCGTGCAACGTGCCATACAGCCAGAGAAACTTTTGAATTCCTGCACGAGTCATTTCCTGGTGGTGTTATTTCTCGTTTTGCAGATCGTCATTGGCCGCGCAGATCATGCGTTTTAACGCCTTTGGGCTTTTTTTCAAGCTATTGCGTGTTCCATCCGCTATCAAATTCTATTTAAATGCGAAATATGCGAATCTATATGCGAAAAATATATTTATGGTTTTTATATTTCCTGAAATAAAGGAGCTGAGAAAAGTTGTAATAAGCAATTTTTTCACCTGATTCTGTATCTTATAAACAGACTACGGAACGACAAATTTATTACCGTCATCTTTACAGTTGAAATAAAAATCGAGCTCATAACACCCATAGCGGTTTGCAAGCTGCAATGTATGTCTAATTCAGCAAGCGCATATTTCCGAGCCGAGCTTGATATTTTTTGTCAACACACTAGATATTTAGATGCGCGTTTTTGTAACGGTATTATGTCACTTTGTACTACCTGAACGACAGTAGATTTGCGCTCTAGAATCGGAAAATTTTGCCGTCAGAAACGTGATTCAAGGGTGCAACTTTGCAATAGATCAGTAACCTGATTTTAACTGCTATTAGTTGCTAATCACTACAGTTCGAAGGGGATCACGCTTTATTTCTAGCATACGAACTCGTATTCTCTGGATGATTTAGTGGATCTGTTCCTAACTACCTTGTGTATAAGTTTTGAGATTTGATGAGATCCTAGTCTCAGTTCTATTTATCTTCCCTTGGAATTACTCGCAGCTTTGAACTTCAAAGCTAAATAAATAATGGTAGATTGCCGGTCTCGATTTACATATTATAATGTTGGGTTTTCCTCTATATGTCGGTAATCATGTGCAATAATTTAACTGGAATTATTAATTTCGCCTTTCGTAGTTGGGCTCTAAACATCACCAGTATTTTAAAATTATATTTAGCGTGAATCACTACAAAAGGGTGAATCAAAAGTTTTTTCAGATGTTTTATTACCAATTTAGATTCAGTGTTACAGCAAATGAGAAACAAAGCTTCAAAGTAAAGACTGCGGGAACACTTATTTTACTTAGAGGAGAAAAGCCGGCGGAATCCGTTTCAACTTCGCACAGATTATTAAAGCTACGACCACGAAGAAAGTGTGCCATGGAGCGGCAAAGCTGGTAGTCGGATCGCGCAGGATCTGGACTATACGCTGGGTGAGGAAGAAGTTCAATCGCGTGGACTTTTCATCTTTTGCTGGGTTCATTTGTTAGGATGCGGTTTGTCTTGTTGCAGGAGTACGCGCTTTCGACAGATCAAAGCGTAGAGAGAGTATTTCTCGCCAGGGACTGCATTCATTCAACTAAGTTGGGCGTGTTAGAGGTCTACGGCGATGCTCCCCTCATTTGGAGCTGTTGATGTCTTGCTTCCAGTAATGGCGTAAAAGGAAACGCATTTCAGATATTTCCATGGTTTTTCTTGAAATGAAAAAAATTGAACCATTGGCATAAATTCGCCATTTACATTAAAAGTTTTAATACATATTATTAGAGTGAAAAATGCAAATGAATTGAAGTGATATATTTTTAATGAAAATTAGTTAAAAAATTACTGGTAAGATGCGTCGACTTATGTTTCTCTCCTTTTATGTATTACAATTGGCATCTACTAGGTGCAGTTTTGTGTGGTAGATTTTCAGACTTCCTTACAATCAGTAACAGTTCTCTATGATACAATTTGTCATAGTACGAGTCATTTTAGTCTCCCGTCTCCTCTCTTTATTCAGTTACAGTCTCCATATTGTTGTCCACTCTAGGAATAAGACTTTAAAACGTATTAGATACAATGAGCCTTCAGGTCAAAAACACGCAGATATGTTAATTTGTTGTATATCCAGAAATATATAAAATCCGTCAAAATTCAGCTGAGCTAAAAAAACCTAGCAAAGGTTTCCATTGCAAATATCGCATCAGCATCTAGTCAAATATTAGATGACACACGTTCAAGCAATGCTGAAAATATACGACAATGTTAAACATGCCTAAAGTTTAGCTTCGATATGGAGATCTTAAATCTCTCCAATCTTCTGCGTTCGTAACTTGGGGAGAGCTGTGTATTACAAATAGCTCGATTCTTATGAGAACGTGAACGCAAATTTGCCAAAAAAGTGGAATTGGACTAACTGAATAGCTCATGTCAATAATAATAATAGTCATAACTCTATCAACTTAAAAATCATTCCTACATTAAACACAAAGTGAAATAGTATCAATAATAGCAAAACCTTAACCACAAATCATACATTTTACGATCTAAAGCAATAAGAGTGAACTGTACGTTTCTAACTTTCTACGAGTTCCAACTGTAACAGGTATTTTTTTAATTCCTTTTTCAATATTTTCAGATGGTCGAAACGGTCTTAAATAGCCACATATACTTGTGATGGGGGAACATTGCCTCAGTATATAACAACAGGTGACTAATAGCGAACATACTCTACATACCCAGCAAATACCTACGTTCTATGTTGTCAATATTCCAACTTGATATTGTAACGGAAATGGCCTGGGGTACTCACGTTTGAAATGGGAGCCCCATTTACGCCCAATTTACTGTCAAATATGACACTGACAAGCGGGAAGTTTCGCACCTGTTCTGGACATTCCGAGAACCATCTGGGTTACCTGGAAGAAACTATATAAGCGACGACGAGAACCAGACGGGAGACAGTGAAGTGACAGCAGCGACCGGGTGCCGAAGAGGTTGAACCCCGTGAGTCGGAAGAGCGAGTTTTCCGTTGGTTATTGTTTGTGAAGTTGACGGTAATTTTGAAGTTAGTCTGTTCTTGTTCCGCATTTAAAGTTATACCGAGGTGAATAAAAGTTGGAAGCTGAAGAAAGAATTTGATACTCGACCATCCACGGTACAATATTTTAGATGATACGGCATCAATTTTTATTTAAAAAAATATATTTTTGAAAACAATGCTTTGTGACCTATAAATTTGGGCATCAATTGCGATCAATACTGAAAGTTGAAAGTTTTAATGACCCGAAAGGACTACAGTAAACTGATTGGAGAAATAACTACATTCCCAAATTTGCTGACTTTAGTTTTTCTGGCACAATGATGGGGCTTTAGCGGCCTGGATCAACCAGGTATAAACACAAAATAATATTTACTTTGGCTCAAAACATCCTCCAGGAGATCAGGCAGGTGCAGAAAAGGCTGCTATAATTAACTATTCCTTTAAGATATCTTCTATTATAAATATTTCTAATTACCGGCACAAACGGCTATAATTCAAACTTAATTCTACTGAATAAAAATCTAAATTCACCTAGCATTATCGAGCAATTTGTGCCACATGAATATAGTGTAAATAATCTTTATCGAGAAATAATTTGAAGGCCGCCTAATATTTAGGGGCCGCAAATTGGGTAGGAATTATTCATAGTTGACAATCCCGACTGACCTAATATATTGCACAATGAATTATGTGTTTGCTGGTGGAAACGAAATAAATTTGTCCCATTAACTACGATTATTGTTGTTGGACATTATTCACCGGCAATTGTGTTTACCTCACTTGACTTTCAGCATGAAACACCCATTGAAATATGATTTTCTCAATACAATACAATAGAACATCAGGTCAATTTTTCTATTTTTTTAAATGTTCTAGCTTTCTGATTTTTCGAAAGTACGAAAGCGGAATAATCTTGCATTATTCAGAGTATTCTTTTTCATGCACAATGAAGGGTTATCGTTTATCGAATCAATCTTTCTGATCTCAGATTATATTAATTACCAGACTATGAAGGCTTTCACGGCCGGTCAGATTACATTTGGAAATGTTTTCCGTCCTTTGAAGCCGTGGTCTATCGGAATTTCTTCCTGACGTTTCGTCCATAACTGCGGTGGACATTTTCAAAGGCGATGAGGCAGTGGGCGAAGTGATCTACCGTGCTTTCAGACCAAGAATGATTCAACTGCTGGATTCCCAGTCGTATTTATGCCGCCCCGCCGTGTGTGCTCATGCGTGGGGGATGGGTGGGGGTTCCAACGCTTCGGCGCACATGCTGTTTGGCGCAAAACGCGCTTCCAATCTGGATTGAGTGCCGTAATTTCTTCTTTTCTGTTGAAATTGTTTTGGTGTTTAAATATTTCGATGGCCTCCCTGGCGAGTCTCGGGTAGTATATTTCAGATTGGTGCAGAATGTCCACTTCGTCGAAGCGTATTTGGTGGCCGTCTAGTAGTGCGTGCTCCGCTACTGCTGATTTTTCCGTTTGTCCCAATCTGCAACTTCGTTTGTGCTCCGT